CCCCCCCCCTGAATAAGGGTCACTCACCTTTTCGTATGCCGCCTGCGACGTGGAAAACCCTGCCCGGTACACGCCGTTGTTTATCTGTGGGCAACATGGAAGGGTATCGGAGATACGACGACGGATATAATTGTAAGGCCATACTGTAGCGCGAGATCGCTGGCCGAGACTGCTGGGTCAACCGGTAAGGTCGATACACGAATCGTACCCCTTTTGTCAACTGTCACAGGGAAAAAATACCTCAGAAGCGCCCGTGCCTACAGGGGAGGGGGCAGATACCCAGAACAAGCCGTACAAGTAAGCTTATGGCTTCATGGAATGCATAGACTAAGTGATCGGGTAGAAATCGGCTAGGTACACATAACGCCGTTTTCGTTCCCGATTTCGTTTGCATGGCCTGGCCGTACTTGTGTTAGGCTTTCCGCGCCGTAAAAGCAGCAGGTGCTGCCCAGACGTGCATAGCCATGAAGTGTTTCAGGCGGCGCGTTGTGTGAACGGTAGACAGTAGTAGTGACAGCACTATGGAGCGAAGCAGAGTAACGGCTCATTCACGAAAGCTGCACATCGTAAAATCAGGAACATGCCCCTTCCTACGACCGTGCAGTACGTAAATGACTCTCGTCCATCCACTATCTACTACTGGGAGAGACAGCTTACGAATAGACGACCATGGTAACCTATCGACAAAACTGAACACAGCAGGTGAGCCACATCCATTATTAGGACAACCTTTTTCTCCCTGCACTCCGTATCCACCGGCAGCAAGACACGAGTTCGCGTGTGTGTTTTCCCGCGACAGAAAGTTTACCGTTTTTCTTTACAACAAAATGCAGATATGAAAAATCGTCGCCACCAGCACCTTTTCGTAAACGAAGTCGTTCATTTCGTCGATCTCCTTCTCCAACGAGGCCGGACACAAGTCCACCCCCACGACGCCGTTTCCCGCGCCCGACCGAGCCCCCCCCGTGCCCTTCTCGGCGAGAGCCATGTCGTTAAGCATCCTCACGATGTGACTGTAGCGCGCGTCGAGCGGCATGCGTCGTTCGCCAAGGACAGGGGGGGGGAGCGAACGAGTAGTAGCGAAGGAGGACGCTGGTCAAGCTCTGCACAAGGTACACGAGGGACGTGTGATCACCGCCAGCGCCCAGACGTCGTGTGTGTTGGGGTCCGGCAGAAGAGCGGGCTTTCCTTAGCTCTCAAGCTTCGCTCTTGGTTGTACCCTAATCATCCCCGTCAGGTTTCCCCTTCTCTACGTCCCTACCCACCTTAGCTCTTACCTAGACTCAACACGATTACTTTTGCCCTCTTTGTCTGCTGCTGTCAGCGGAGTAAGACATTGGTGTTATCATGGTGTTCGTTGGAGAAGGGGGGTTGCCGTCTCGATTGCTGTCGGTCCTGTGGCCTGAGAGCTAGCAGAATATCTGGCACTTACTTCTATGACGCTGCTTGAGAGTACTAGCATTCGCAGCGCCTAAAAAGCCATCTACATACGGTCCGTGCAAAACAATTTGTCCAATAATTTCCCATGCACAAAGTGCAACTTTTCTCTGCACACAGGTGGTTGTTCGAAAATCTGAAAGTACCGGTAAACGCCCTGTTTACAGGCGCAGGGCGTGACGGAGAGTTTTTTTTTTCCTTGACTTTTGACTTTTGACTTCCGAAAAACCGGAAAAACTTGTTTCGTTTACAGGGGGGGGTGTACTCATAGTCGTGCATGCCGTAGTCGTTAGACCATTGACCTCGCATCGCTACAAAGCCGGGACGGAGCACGCCGGGTTCTCACCGGACCAGGGGGTGGATTTTTTTGCCGATTCACAAAAACTCAACGGATTTGGACAGATCTCGGAATTCCGCAGATGGGTGATATTAATGTTTTTTTAACTCTTGGAATTGAAGGAGATATCCAGGAAAAACTGGATCTAGAGGGTCAAGTTGTTTCTTTTACAGCACAATAACTAACCAACCGATTCCCAAATAAACAGCGGCAAACGATTCCTCTCATCAGTCTCTAGATGGATATTTTTTGTTTTTCCCGGAAAAACTCTGGTTCTCGAGATATTCCACATTTTGTCGTGCCGTGCTATCGGAGTTTTTTTTGCTGTTGGGCAAGACGCTCCCACAACAAACTGGCACACGTGGCGGCCCGAACAACACGAGACACGCACGCAAGCAAGCAAGCACCATGGCACGGCCTAAGAAGAAGAAAATCGGCAAGCGCGGAGCCGATGGCCGGGCGGTTCCGAAGAAACCGAAGCCGGCGCAGCAACATGATCTTCCGTCACGCGGCGCTGGTGATGCGCTCTCCGACGGCCACGACAGCGCCGATTTGATGGACGTGGATCAGGAAGAAGGCAAGGCGGCGGCAGACGAGGATGGTAACGACGAGGACTGGTGCGATGAGGATACCAGCGGCGCACACAGCCATGGTAGAGGTCAGTCGATCCTGAGTTTTGCGAAGTGGTCGGTGGCGTCCGCAGGTCGCGATGCAGGAAGTGCGGCGAAAAAAAATCCGCCGCGTGTGCTGTCGAGAAGTCAGCGATTTCGCAACAGAAAAAAACTTCGCCAGCAACTAGCAGTAGGCTTGGCACGAGCTATGGGAGCGTTCATCCGGAAGTCACAGCAGCAGCAGCAGGAGCAGGAAGAGGAGGAGAGCTCCTCTGCCAGTGGCGAGGTTGGCCCAGCAGAGATGTCAGCGGCGGTTTTAGAGGTTGAGTCGCACGCAAGCTCTCCCGGCGGCGGCGGCGTTTTGGAGTTGCGCCGCAGCAGCAATAGCAGCAACGGCAGCATCGGCAGCATCGGCAGCATGTCGATAGCTTCGGGCCATGGGCTTAGCATAGATGAGTGGTGTAGTCGTGGAGGCCACGGGGGGAGCAGGGACACAAGCGGAAAAGGACGCCGCGGCGGCGAAGGCGTTGGCGGCTTCACAGGAGTGCCGAACCTTCTCCACGAGGAGGGCGAAAAGGGCATTCGAGACNGCAGCAGGAGCAGGAAGAGGAGGAGAGCTCCTCTGCCAGTGGCGAGGTTGGCCCAGCAGAGATGTCAGCGGCGGTTTTAGAGGTTGAGTCGCACGCAAGCTCTCCCGGCGGCGGCGGCGTTTTGGAGTTGCGCCGCAGCAGCAATAGCAGCAACGGCAGCATCGGCAGCATCGGCAGCATGTCGATAGCTTCGGGCCATGGGCTTAGCATAGATGAGTGGTGTAGTCGTGGAGGCCACGGGGGGAGCAGGGACACAAGCGGAAAAGGACGCCGCGGCGGCGAAGGCGTTGGCGGCTTCACAGGAGTGCCGAACCTTCTCCACGAGGAGGGCGAAAAGGGCATTCGAGACGTGGAAGAGGAAGCGCGCCATGGCGCAGGGAGGAGAGGAGAAGGAGGCCGACAACACTGCGTCGTGATGTGTGTGTCTTTACGTGCGTAAACCAGATCCCACAAAGGGTTGACTGCTCCCGAGGTTTTGTTTAGTTTAGTGCATGCTGTATCGTATAGTGTAGTGATGTCTAATTTTTTTTTTCTTGTATAGACTACTGTGCGGAGTGTGGAGATTCGTTCACGTGTGTGTATACATTGGCGTGCTTGACCTTCGAGGGTGTTGTCGAGCAAGCGTGGTATAGTATCTGTACAAATGCAAACAGGGGGTGTCGTGGTGTATTTAGAGCAGGTGGTAGAGGGGTAAGAGGGCTCTTTGGGGGCACGGTTAAAGGGTTCCGTGAATGCATAGGGGTATGTCGTGTTTGGGGGGCTCCGTGGATGATTTTTGCCAAGAATGTTGCATATCGCCAAAAAAAAAAAAAAACTGCAGCTATCGACGGATCTCGACGAGGCGGTCATGACTATCGTTGTTTCACGTTCTAATTCTCTTTCCAAACGAAGCTATCGCACAAAACGTAATTGGACAAATTGTTGTGCACGGACTATACTACATACACTCATGGGTTCGTGGGTCGCGCTGTTTGAAGAAAGCTTATAATATATCCAACATGTACCTGGACTCGTTGGTGACGATCTTCTTGGCCTTCCTATCCACCACCACTGGAGCCGTACACCTAACACGCGGAACACCAACACAAAACGCAGGTTGTTATCGAGCGATCGCAAAACGCTGCTGTTTCGTGTGGGGCGAACAATTGAGAGAAGCAGCGGAGGCTAGCTATAAGGGTTATTCGGAACATTTGAGGGACTGCCCGAACAGCCCAACATGATAACACTCTAAATGCGAAGACCCTCAGTCTCTTCCGCCATACTCTTGACAGCAGGAGCATACCACCGTATTGGTATCTACGTTGCCGTAACGAACACAGCCGCTATCTACGTCCACGCTTCACGACACTTCCTCGAACGCCAAGAACAGCAAAAAGACACTCTCTACGTTCCTTCCCTTCGCGCTCGACCTCCGACTGACGTTCCGAAACATGCAGTCCGGAAAGGTGACGCCGTTCCTTTCTACCCCTCCAGAGATGTCATAGCAACACTAGTACGTGGTACAGCAGTCGTGGCTTCAATTAAGGAGGGTCGAATCCGTTATCAGGGACTCGACCTGCTGTAGGTACCCTCTCATTCCGGTAGTCTACAAGACGGGGCTCCGAAATAAGAGGGTTGAGGGTCTTTGTCGCACCACCGAGCCACAACTTATAGTAGCCCCAATCAAGCGCTCCATGAACTTGCCAAGAGAATACAAGCAATACAACACACCTTCCCTTGAACCCCGGGCTACACGTTTCGTAAACCTCACGGAGGTCGTTGCAGCCGAACACCGGGTCAGGCTCATCCCGCGTGAACGCCCAACCCCCCCGGGACGCTTTGTCCGGATCTGGAACACACACGGGGGGGTGGTTTGACGGTGAGGCGACGGGGGCTCCGTGGGTGGGGGGATCGGGGGACATTCCTTACTTGAATTAGGCCTGATCCCATTTACCAAGCATGTGAACCGAGACCGAGGAACCCTTGCTGTGTCCAGTAGATAGAGTCACCTAGAAACAATCTTATCACTTGCCCCAGACATGCCATTCCTTACAGGTTCTACTGCAGCGGCATCGACGGCGGGAGCGGCGGCAGGGGGAACTCCCGTCGGTGTACTCTTCACAATCACGGCAACCTTCTACAGTGGGCTAAGTTCACCGCACGATACATGTTGTGCATCCGCGAAGCCAACGCTCGATACCACAACCTTCGGTATCGGCGGAGGGGGGGAGAAAGAAGGGCGAGGGCCGATTCACCGGCTAGGCATTTCTCTGCAGCAGCCTTGTCTGGGTCCACCGATAGCGCAATGTGTCATGACAGATCTCTCTCTCCTCCCCATCTCCCCGTCTCTGTATGAGTCACCTTTGGCAACGCAGGAAGGAGCGATTGACCATTGGTCATCAGCCCTGCCGGAACAATGCTCCGTCCTCTTGAGGATGCTTGGTCAATGGTCTAACCGGTAGGGCGTGCAAAACATGAATACGCCCCCGTCCTGTCTGTCTCCCGCATTTTCCGCCACCAACCTATCCCTTTGCCCTCTACTTCCTTTGCCCGCCCCCTCTAAACTAACCCACTCACTGTCATCCATGTAGGAGAAGGTCACGGCAGGGGACAGCCCTCTCAGCACAACCGCCAGCACGGCGCGATGGCACCAGGGGCAGGTATTCCCGACGTAAACGTGGTACCGTCCAGACTCTACCGGAAACGCCCCCCTTCCGATCCATCCCCGGAACCCGTAGTTCGGTCTGATGTGTGGACGGACAGTCGGCAGCACACAGCAGCAGTATGCGTGACGAACACGCGCTACGAAGTCATGCCTAAGGGTGTGTGAGATTCCCACCCGCCGTCCACCTCACCATGCCTGAGAGGCTGCAGCGAAGAATGTGGATCTCCTTTCTTTTCTTCGTTGCACGTTACCCTCGCTCGTTTACCCGGGTAGGTCTGCCATTGCACGGGCTGTCCTTGCATGTGCCGGAGATGGTTATGGTTGCACCGCATCGACCCTCGCGAATATGTAAGAACAACTCACGACTGCGCTTTTTTGGCGTGACAGACGGGACGCATTTTCGAATGCCGGCGCTATGAGGGCAATACCGGTGCGATCTGGAGCCTCGAGAGGTGGTGTGCTACGTACGGTACAGTAGTACCATTCCCTAACTGATGTAGAGCTGCTCGCAGTGCGCTTCAGCCTCAAGAAGATGAGTAATTTGCATGCTGTCCAACATTGTGAATATTAATATTGGCACAGCAGCGCGGGATTCCTCTCCTTACGCACCTCTACCCACACTATCCATCCCCCACTCATCCCCGCCCTCTCAGCCCTACCGCAGCAATGAAGCACTACAGCGCTGTCCTACACCCATCAGTCGGAGGGGAACCAAAATAACAACTTCGTCTACAGACAGAAATACACACCGGACGTAGGCCCCGTCTGGAGACTGAGGGGCCAACTCTCGCATCATCTGGAGCCACACGAACTTCCACCCTGCTCGCGCGGTCTTGACAAGCCCGCCCTGGGGCACCAGCCCTCCGGCCAGCTCCAGGATGCCAAATCCTCATCGATCATCGCGACCATGCCACACGAGGGATTGATTCCACAAGCAAGGAAGAGAGAGGGGCGGGACGTTTACATTGATTGTCGCTACTTTCATAGTCTGGCCTGTACCACGCACCCCTTTCGGCACGTGTTCTATCTCTTCACTTTCTGGCAAAGTTGTGTGCGTCCGCCTGCAAGTATCTACGTTCATCTTTGCACCACATGACTGCTGTCTACCGGTTGTTTCTGCTTCTTGGACAATTAGTCTTGATGGCGAGAGATTGATGGATACAGCAGGTGTGCTCCCCGGGGAAAGGCCAACATGGCGATGGCGGTTCTTATGTACAGAGTTCCGCGTATCCCGCTCTCAGTGTGCAAAGAGGGGAGTGGAACGGTTTGCTTTGACGCAGTTGCCTAGACAAGCTGTGCTATTAGCCACAATACGTGTCCATTGTCGGCGAAACCTTAACCTTGCACAAGAACAAAATCTGGGCGTCGTGCGGAATAGAGCCGGTTTATGTTCTGGAAACGCAAGTCGATCCCCTCGCCGCCCGAGACTATTGTACAGCAGGAAGGACTATTGACTGCATTGCAGAACCCACTCCTGTATATTTGATCGCCGCACACCACCATAACATATCATCGCACAGCTGAGCTGTGAATCTCTTTGGGTGTCAGGTACACAGACAATGCACGCATTTTACTGCTTGTAACCTATTGCCAACTCCTCACCCTTGTTCAACTTGGTGTCATGATCACCCGCCGCCATCTGCGCCACCCCAGCAGAGCGCCTCCTGCGAGGCCGGCTTGCACCGCAAGCAGCATGTCGGGCCGAAGACCCGTCGGTGTGGGCAATGAGGGCGGGAGAAGGGGGGGGCACGAACGCTTGGCTGAGCTGAAGGACGCCGGCGCCGAGCAGGAACATGTGCACGTCCAAGGCAACCTTCATCCTTGCGGTTCAAAGAAGCCCCGGGGCTTCTACTTCTATCCCTGACGACCCTGGGCAATTGCAGGGCTTGTAGGCTGCTACTGCTGTTGTCGAGCCTGGGTACGTGTTGGGTATGTCGTTATCAGAGAACGCCGTCACGTTGTAGCATTGTGGTGTCAAGTGCGTACCGAAAAAGCTGCTGCTGTGTGACGGGCGAGGTCCCGCGAAATCAAGAGAGGGGGCCCCGCGAGTTGTTCATGGACGAGAAGTAACCAGAAACGGGTTGTTGTTGTTGTTGTTGTTGTTTCTCACATTAGCTCTAAAAAAAAAAAA